AAACTTCACCTACCAGTAATTGGATTGAGTTCTGTCCTTGTCAGTAGAGTTGCCCAGAGCTGACTATACTTTGCATAAATGCTTAAACATATTGAACAAGTCTTCTCTTTATTTTTGTTTTATTTTTAAGCTGTGTATGTGAACTTGTTTTGCTTTGGATCACTAGATGGGTTTTGTCTTTCTGCTTCAAACTTGCTGTCTGAGCTCTGGCCACCTGGAAGCTGTTGTAGCCATGGCCCCAGCAGCACTGGGGACAGAAATGCCATCAATTCACTGCCTCTGCTGTTTAGTACTTTTATATATTATTGCAGTAGACTTTTTGCCTGCTCCTTGTCCGGCAGCTCACACAGAGGTAACTGTGGAGTCCTCTAAGGTACACGACCTGCTGTTTTCCAACAGCCCTTCATCTTGTGGGTAGTTCTGGATATTTGAATTCATATCTTGCCTCTGGTTATACCTGTATGCAGTTAAATTATGATTGCTTAGTGTTGCAGAGCAATCTGAATATTTTAGCAACTTGTCATCATCATCTGGTATTACTGTGACATTCCTAAGCTCTGGTAGCCCAATCTTTTCTTTTTAGTAGCTATTCATCAGTAAAAGTTTTGTGTTGTTGAAGACCAGCTGGTAGCAGCCTTCATTAGAAACAGCCCTCAGACCCGTAATTTTGCATAAAATAACAAAGACTGTCCCATACAATCTGCTTTGCATGTAACTATGTGGTCTGATAATTGTATTTTTAGCCTCTAATTAGTTGAGAGGCTTGAGATGGCTGTTCTGTTTCATTTGGGATCAAAATAAGGTTAATACAGTTCCTGGTTGTTTCTTCTAACATCCCCTGTTTAATATTGGGACTTGTTTTTCCCCATTAAGTACATCAGGACTAACTCTATCATTTTAGCTGAAATTAAAACAAAATCTGTGCCTGGGGCAGGCACTGAGCACAGAGAGCTTCACTCTAACTGCAAACAATTGTCGAAGTTTTATAAGCAAGTAAAAAGGGATCTTATAGTGGGAAGCATGGGGTTGCCAGAGGGGCCACCCACCTTGCCTGGGGTGTGCACCGAAAACTGCCTTGCAGCAGGTCTAACGAGGCTGGAAGCCATAATAGGTGCTTGCTGAGTTTTCCACCTTTCCAGAGCTCCACATGTGCATCTGAAATATCCCTGTGTACCCCAATGGGCAACCTTTCTTCCTCCTTCCCAAAGGACCTCTGCTCCCCACAGCGTGCCAACGGCAGGTGATCGCAGGGAGTGGCCATGCTGTTCCTTATTATTCAGTGTTTCCTAAGCCTGGCTCGGTGTTGTTAGCCAAGCTGTGCTGAAGACAGGGCTATTAAGCTTTTCACAAGCCTTTTTGTGAGGCTCCTGTAAATACACACTGGTGAAGCAGCGATATACTTTCATGGCACTTCCATGAGATGTGGAGAGGCAGAGAGAGTAAATGTTTCTTCTGATTTTTTTGACAGCCTAATTGTTTGCTTGAAGAGTCGGGTTTTCCAACGCGTGTACAGTTTATATCGCACCTTGACTTGGCTTGCAGCTGGGTGCCAATGTGGGTGTTTGAGTCCAGAGCTGCAATCCAGAAAATGGAGAATAGTCACTGGTCGGCTGTGAAATGTCTGGCTCAGGTGGTGGCTGAGCATCCTATAGGACGACAATGGGTCCAGCTCTGCAGGCAGAGCTCAGTCCTTCTGTCCAGGCTCTTTTCTCACAGGCCCTGCATCTCTTCTGGCATCTGCAGCAAACGGGGCAGAGGTTTCAAGGCAGCTGCTGCTTCGGTCCCTGCTGCTCTGTTTCGCACTGGGAGAGGCAAAGATCCCTGGAGGAAGTAACGCAGTTGCGTAACGAAGCGTACAATAGCATGCATGAGTCACATGGGCAAGAGGACTATGGGGAGAACAAATTAAGATTTTTACAAGTGTTCTCAACTCTGACACTTCCTTATTATCTGAGGGTTTGGCTGAGAGATTGATAGTTCCAGGCTAGGATACAGGCTATAAAAATGCTCAAGTGAGCTATTTTTCTCTACTTCCCCTAACCCAGGTGCGTCAGGCCACATCACCCCCTGGCCTCATCAGCAGGACTGGTGCTGCTAGTGCCGTCCTGTGCCTCCCTCCAGCCAAGCAACGGGGAGGGCAGCGGGCTGCTGGCTTTGCTGGCCCCCGGCTGCGGGGTGCGAGTCCTGTGCTCTGACTGTGATTGCGCAGCAGCAGAATAGCATGAGGCTCTGGGCTGTGGTTTCCATTTGTGCATGAGTAGGGTATCATGCTCTTTTATCTTCTCTCCAGCTTCATCCTATATCTTTCTCCCTTGTTTCTGGTCCCCTCTTCAATTAATTCAGCAGTGTTAGCCTCTGCCTTGGCTGGGTATAGCAGGCAGCCAGGTCCAGCCCATCCCCTGTGACCAAGACTTTAGGGTAGCTTCTGACCTGGATTTTGGGGGAGTCCAACCTCCTGCATGGGGAACAGCTGCTTATGTGGCTACAAAACCGTATGTGTGACTTCCAAAGGAGAGGTGGTGGGTGCCAGCCCAGAGAAGTGTTGGGCAGCTACCATCCTCCCTCCCGAGGGCTGGAGGCCACTTGGCTGGAAGCCACAGTGAAAGCCAGGAGACAGTCGAACACAGCAGCCTTTGAAAGGAGGAGAACCACAGCCAGCCCTGAAACAGGGGGATGCATTTGGGATGACAGTGGAGGAGCACGTGGAGCTGCACAAATGCACAAGCAAAGTTGCATGCAGATGGGTAGACTGGGCCAGGTGTAATTTGGGTGGTGCTGGAGGCCCAAGGTTTTCCTTGGTGGTACAAGCAGCACTTGGGTTTTTGTGGTATCTCCTGGCTTCTGTTGCCCCATAAATCCTCAGGAGCCTCTTCAGCTTCATCCCTGCTCCAGCCAGAACGAGGAAGCCCTCAGGGGCAGA